TCAGCCTGTGTGCAAAGGGCGTGCTTTGCTCCTGCAGGTCGCGTTTGTAAAGGGAGAAGGCTTCGAAACGATTCAACTCATGTGAACTCGCGGCTCACTCGCGCACAGCACCTGCAGGTACGAGGCCATGAAGAAGAGGATGTGATCATAAGGAGCGAAGTCTGTCTCCAACCTTGTTTCAAAGCCGCGCTGCTTCCTCTTTGCCGAGCCCGAGACCAGGCCCATACCGTAAAGGCCCTCCAGAGCAGAATCTGCGAGCCCAGTGGCGGGATGTTGATTTCATCCACACCCACAGTGTCCGCGCGCTTGCATCCAAAGATATCGACCTAAGCATTCGTAGAGATGTTCGCTGGCACGCAACTGCAAGAAGTAAAAACACGATCGGAAACTAGCTGCTTGTAAGTCTGTCATCGTCTGGCAGCCTAAACCTGAATCCCATACCGCACCTCGCAAGAAACCAGCAGCAATAGTAGCGAGGCGGTGTGCGCTCACAAAAGCTGGATCAGAACATATTTCCTACCCTTAACACCTTGCAGTACCAGGCCACAAGAGTCCATGCGATGCTGCAATGCCGACAGTCTTAGGAAGGCTAAGAACCTAGAAGCCACTGCCAAGCCTTACCCCATCTGGGACTCCAGCTCGCATGCAGGGGTACGAGAAGTACTCCAGTTGGTTCAACCTGCGCAGGTGCATTCTGTGTCCGCGTGACTCCACAAAGCCGCGGGCTCAAGGAGGACTGAGGAGAAGAAACCAGAGAAGAGATTGCACGGGAGGAGCGTGGACGTGCTGTGCTCTACTCCTTTTAGAGATTAATACTTGGGATTGAGGCTTTACAATAGAATTCAGGGCTTCGGTTGTGGTGGGGCCACACGATTCTCGGAGAAGAACATGCTAACATGCCCCCAAGGGGGGATTGTGGAGTTTGAGTGGGTTTCGGGTACATCCTTGTGATCAGTCCTGAGCTTCATCGCCAGAAAGGAGTATGGGAGGATGATGTTCTCCACCAGCGTGGTCCTCATGGATTTCTATCCTCTACATCCCCTCCAGCACAATCCCAAAGCCTTTGCCCGGGAAACCTACACCCCCACAAACCCCGCAAAGGACGAGGGAGAGCAACCGCAGGGGGCCGATGCGATCCCAGGCACCGATCCGAGTTGGCCTGGCGCTTTCTTTGGATTGGAGGCTCAGGGTGATGGGGGGGGGAGGCGCGGGGTGGCACAGGCGTGATGAGGGGGCATGCTCAGGCTCATCGGCCGTGACAAGCTCCCGTGGCAACTGGCCTCGTATATCTGCGGAAGATCGATCCACGTGTAGCCATTGCGAGTGTAGCTCAAGCTGAATTTGCTGACCTTAATGCACTCCGTGTGGTCTCGTCAGTTTGCACCACTCCCTCAGGCGATCCGGACAGGATGCGGCTCGACTTCGGCTGCCCTGCACCTCTCTATTCGCCTCGGCTTCCTGCCGAGAAGCGTCTGGAACAAGCAGACCCGGATCGGGCCTCCTTCCCCCTAACCCAACCCTTCCCCCCGTGCCAAATTTTCTGACGCAACCCCCCCCCCCGCCCTGTGGGACCCCCCCCAATCCCTTGGAGGAGCTGCAAACCGATGCCGTGGAGGGTCCCGCTTGTCGGTGGCTCCTACAGGGGGAGTGCCTCAAAAACCCCCCCCCCCCCCCCCCCCCCCCCCCCCCCCCCCCCCCCCCCCCCCCCCCCCCCCCCCCCCCCCCCCCCCCCCCCCCCCCCCCTTAACCTCGCTGCCCTTCCTCCCCTTTTTTTGCGAAACCCTCTTTCCTCCTTTCCTGTCCTGGGGCCGGCCCGGCTGCCGAGGCGGCGCGCGTTTACAATTTAGCTATTTTATAATAGTGTGAAGGACCTCTCAATTCTAGCGCATTGAAGCTGGGCACCCACTGGAAGATCGTCTCGCGGCCCTTTGTCTCGATCCTCTCAATCCTCGCTGAGGGTTTCGGGATTCCAGGAGAGTCAGGGCTTGTCAGAGTCGAGGGGTTCAGAGTCAAGGGGGGCTTGGTTCATTGCATTGGTGCAAATGCGAAAAGCGTGGTGGAGGATGCGATATTTCTGCTCCCCTTGGAGGTGAGGGGAGGAGACGGCAGACCCTGGAGATTTCGCACACCAATTCACCCAATATCAAAATCAAAAAGACTACGGGAGACTTGGGGGAAAGCTCCTCCGGGCGCCCTTGAGACTTGCGATGCTGGCGGCATTCTGCGCTCGGAGTTGGCCGATCCCCTCTTGCTTAGGGCAGTTGTCAGGGCCCCTGCAGGTTCTACTCTTCAAGGTTTCAGTGAGAAGGCTGATTCTGGAAGAGCCCAAGCTGTTGGCAAGTCGCAGCATGTCAGTGCCGAAGTCGAACTCAATGTACGTGGTCTTTCTGAGGACAAGGTTGCAATACCTTTCGGATGGCTAAGGGGTTTGGGGATTGGGGTCTGCATCTTGGATGGAAATGCACCGAAGCTTATGCAAACCACGAGCTTTGAATCATCTTGACATGTTACTTGGGTCTTGGAGTCAGAGCTTGTGCTCTTGTGGGGTTTACATCCAAGACATAGGGACTCATGCGCAAAATGCCATGCCACTGGCCGCTTCCGTCCAGTCGTAACTCGGATGGCTTGTTGGCGGCTGCCAAGGGATTTGACCTTGAAAGTGTGTCGGAGGCTTCCCTTTCGCACCCGCAGCCCAGGCCATGTGCCACACAGTGCTCAGAAGATCCACGAACTCCATTAATCTGCCATTCAGTTAGAAGTTAAATTGTCTTGGTTGAGCTTGGCTCCTCAAACCTGTGAGGGCTGGACTGTGTGATGTTCGCATCCGGAAGATAGGGATTTGCGTTGGTGCCCACGATGGATTGCTGCACCTGCAGATCTACCCCACGAAGGCGCCGTTTCAGGTTTGGGGTTTGCGAGCGTCCGTTCGCCGGATGGCTCGACAGTCTAGTCACTCGCCCGTTCAGTGCGAAGACATGCACACCTCCCCCTTGTCGACTGAGCCCAGGACGTCACACCGCGACGGCAGTTTCTCCTTAGTAGCGGCGACCGTCGGCTTGAGGGATTCGCTGCACAGATGCCCCCCCCCCCCCCCCCCCCCCCCCCCCCCCGGCCCTCGAAACCTGATCCTCAAAATTAGCCTTCCAAAGCGTAGCAGAGCGTAGCGCAACGAGGAGACACGTGAAATCAGAAGCGCCCTTAGCCTGCCGCCCGACCCGAAAGCCCCAACAACTGCCTCGAACTGCCCAAGCTTGGGCAAGGGACGGTGGCATACAGGTTCAGGTTGATGTAGTTGTGCTCTTGGGCAGACCGCGTCAATGCCGTGAATCCTGCTTTCGTGCTGTACGTGTACATATGTGTGGGGGGGGGGGGGGGCCGGGGGGTGGATTAAACATTTTGGGGGGTCGGGGCTGGGGTTTCAAGTTTCAGGGACAGACTATCAGAATCTAGGCTTCGGGCCTTGGGTCCGGGGATATGATGTAACCGCCCAGCGGGTCTGTGAAGGCCTTTGAAGGGTTTCTAACAGTAGTAGCGCAAGTCTGGATTGGCCTGTCCTGTGGTGGTTGTAGAGGTTGTTTCGGTGGCTGTCAGAGTCCTTGGAGACTCCGCACCACTCTCATCCCGCTGAATTCGGCAAAGGAGCGGCTTCTTGTTTGACGAGGTGACGAGGTGGGGAGCCACTCTTAAGGCATGCAGATTCAACGTAGCTCCATGCACTCTGGCAGTGCGTCTGCCGGGGGGCTGAAAATATCATTCTGCTTGGGCTTACGTTTTGGTTCAGGCTTCCAAAGTTGGGACTCAAGCTGGCAAGGCGCTGCGTGGAAGTTGTCGTGGACGTCTGGGTGACGACTGTTGTGGTCGATGTGGCTGAAGTGACAACTGTCGACGTGGTAGTGGTTGATGTGTCTTGTCCATCTTCACAATCGGACCTTGGCTGCAATCGCCTCAATCGGATCTTCATTGGCCCAGCATGATTAATATGAGTCCTTATCAACAACACTTAGTGGTTTCAGTCGGTTCGGTCGGCATCTGCGCCTCGAACAACATAACGATCAACTAGGATTTCGAGCCAGCCGCTTGACCAAACGTCCAAATTCTTGGAGGGCACATTATCCAAGGAGCACAAGGAAAAGCTCTCACACCCCCAAACGCCAACTTTCCCATCTCATTGATCTACGGAGTGGGGGCGGAGTGGGGGGGTGGGACAGAGGGAGTGAGGCGGGGGGAACGAGACAGTTTGGGTGGCCTCGCTCGAGCCGAACACCCTTAGCAGAGAGTCCGAAATTTTGATGCTGGGTTGGTCTTGGAGTCGCCTGGTGGGAAAAACTATCAACCGCATGTGAGGTCTAAGCATCCCAAGCGCTTAGGGCTGTAGAAATGGCGGAACGGCCACCCATCAACTCTGAGCGACTCTTAAGTCCTCACCTCGGCCCACCAGTCTCAGCCACAGGTACTCGTTCCGGCTACAGTACCGATGCGCAGGCATCCCCCCTTCCTTGAACGAGCACCCACCCCCTCCACTCACCTGCTCACTTCCCATCCCTTTCCCCCTGCGCCAAGGCAATGGACCAAAAACTCCAAACAACACCACCGCGTGGAGGGGAACAAGTGGTGCTTTAAACCGACTGCACTTACAGCTCATCTCACAATCAACTCATCAACTGTCAGATCTCCCATGCTTCAGCAGCTGCTCACCTTTGCAGCATATGGCCGACAACAGTGCTGGGTCTGTGGCACGTTGGAGCCGTTTGCATAGGAACACCCGCTGGTGGCGTTGGTGGCGTTGCCATCGTCTCCCACCTCAGTCTGCATATCTTGCTAAGTGACTGCCAGCCGAAGCTCCCTAGAATCCTAGAACCTCCTCTGATCGTGCCGTTCCTAAGTCCCGAGGGCGCGACAGCAGCCAGCCGGCGTGAGCTGGCTGCGGCCTGGCGGTTTGCCCACCGAGAAGTGAGGGAACCGGGCGTTCAGGCTCGGGGAGGTCTGAGAGGGATCGGAGGCTAGGTGAAAGGGAATTGGCTTTGGGGGCTCTGGACTGCATGCGCCACGAGACGCTCCTCCTTGGCGAAGTAGATGTAGTAGTGCGTTACCACAGACCAGTTGGCAGGCCTGGCGAGGTTGTGGTAAGAATCTGTCAAAATCTTGAATTTATCCTCGGTTCGTTGGAGACCTATACCTATTGTCTTGCTCCTTTTCATCACAGGCCTTCCGGTACATCGGGTCTGAAGTTTCGGGAAACGCAGCTGACCAGAATCAGAACCGAGCAGCTGTGTCCAGGTCAAGTTTCCTCCAATCTCGTCCACATCCAGGTCCTGGTCCAACGAAGACTCTTTGGTGCTCTGTGCCCTCAAACATGTCCATAGGCATCGCGACACATGAGTAACAAAGAAACCTCAATTTGAGTCAGATGGTTTACATTATGTCCAAAGTCTAAGAGCATGTGTCCGACATATCCCATATCTCCCGCCCTATGTCCTGATCCGAGAACTGGATGTTAGTGATCTGCGGCGCCGTGTCACTCACCTTCAGGCCTACGGGCGTGGACTGCTCAAAGAGCGTGGACCTCAGTGTCTTTGCTGAACCAGTGGTCTTGGGTTTAGGGCCGAATTCACAAGCAAGCGTGTTGAGGAACCATGCTTGAGATTGGGGACAAACATGCTGTTGAGATTTCTTGGACAGTGCGTGTGAGGTCCATTTGCTGGCAGCCGGCTTGGTGAAAACGTACATGTAGGGGTACGTGCCGAGGTAGGTGTCCTTGCATCACCAATGCAGTGGCTCGGTCCCTGACTCGAGACTCGTGAAGAGTCACCTTCATAAGAGCCTGACATAACTGGTCAGTAACTAGTCAAACTTGCTTCCTGTGCTTCCGTTTTTTGTCAGGCCAGGTTCCACAGGGACTTCATAGTGGACCTCGCCCACGGGGACTTCTGCAACCACGCTCCTGTACTGAAAGGTGCGGTCCTCAGCACACGGAATTGCTCACTTCCGGAAGCTGGACTGCCCTGGGCCTGAACCATTTTGTTTCCTTCAACCCTAAACCCTAAACCCTAAACCTTAAACGATTTTGTTTCCTCAAACCCTGGCTGGTCGAAGGTTCTCCCAGGACGCGCACAATGCGGTGGCAATTTCGGGTTGCTCATGCTGGGGGTTCAATCATGCAGTTGTCACTCAAGCTAAAGATCCAAAATTCCTTTCAGGACACAGTTTAGATCCCGAACTTGTTGAACATCATTTTGAGGCAGGAAGCTACCAGAAAAAAAAATCGGCTGATGCTCATGATGCTCACCTCCCGCCTCGTCAACGGCACCCAATCATTGGGGCAGCTGGTCTCAAAAGCGTCTGGGGCTTGGGGGGGGCCACATGACCAGAAAGGATCCCAGCTGATGCTCATGATGCTCACCTCTCCCGCCCCTGCCCCGTCAATGGCATTCCTTTACCCCCCCCCCCACCCCAAAACCCTAAACCTTCCCGACTGGTAGAAGCAGGTGGCCCACTCCAGCTGGATGGAGTAGAACTTGGTCCCCTCCAAGGGATCTGGTGCCGTCCAGTTCACCTCGGCCATAGGATCACTTGAAAATGCAGAAAAAGAACTGGTCGAGTTTTAAGACCTTGAGGAACCCCTCAAGCCCTCACTTCCTCAAAACACCAGGGGCCAAGAAGCAAAATCGCAAAGGCATCAAAGATCCCATCTATTTGTGTGTGTGTGCTTGAAGCCTTAGAACCTAGGAAGCCCCCATTTGGTAAACTGACACGCGGACCCCACCACCGATGTCCAAGCTGTCCAGGTCGTAGTCCTCGAATCGCACGTTGGACACCTTGGTCGCGTCCATGCGCTCTAAAGACCGGTGCTTGATGACGGCTCCTTGCTTTCTTGATGGGCTGCTTCCGAGAACAACAAGCAGCAGCCGAGGCGACTACGCTCTCATCCCGATCCGTGACATTGACGGACGTCGGTGTCGACTGCGTGGTGTTGGAGGATCTGGAGAAGACCTGAGGATACACAGAGGGCGACCCGAGAGCAGCAGTCTGATGAGCTTTATTCCTATGAAGCATGGCACGAAGGCCCCCAAACTCACGCGACCAAGTTGACTGCCACGCCCCCATTCTGAGACACCTGCCAGGATCGTTGTGAAGTTGCGCAGTGGGGTGCCTCGATGGGATGGAGCCCCTAACCCCAACAGAGTCAACGCTGTAGTTCTTGTGTTGCTCCGAAGAAGGGACCCCACTATTTTAGACAGCTTCTGCAAACGATCTTGCTATGTTTATTCCACACTCCTGATCATCCTATGGGTTCAGGGGACCTGGCCTTGGGGGAGTTGAGGGTCCGTGGCTTCAGTGACTTCAGCGGGTTCGGGGATGCCTTTTGGAGAAGTGGGTGGGGCACTGTTTTCTTGATTCTGCGGAGTTGTCTATCAAGTATCCGAAGATTTGTTGCGCGTCAATTAACTTGAGTTGCCAATTCTAAGTTTAGGATTCGGGGCTGCGGTGGGCACGATTCGGAACGCGTCAAATCCGACCTGTCTTCCGGCTTTGGGCGGTTTACCCGGCTTTTTGGCTGGAGCCAAGCTGCTGTCTGGCACAAAGAAGGAGGACGTGGCTGCAGGAGAACTTCCCAGCTGGGATCGCCTCGGGCGGCAGAAGAGCTTAGAGTCAGAGGAATGGCAGGGCCAAGGGAAGAGAGGGGGGTGGGGGGAGGGGGGGGGCTGCAGTAGGTTATAGGTCTGGGTCCCAGCGTCTCTCCAAAGCTCTCTTCCTCCTCCTCCTCCTCTGCCAAGAAGACCTCGAACGAGATCAGCGTGTCTTGGACCTGCACATAGCTTTGATGCATCTTGACAAAGTCATAGGAAGTCTACGAGAGGAGTGTGGGGCCTATACTCGAGGACGGACCGGCCAAAGCTCCAAACCTCCAAGCAGCAATGCCAAAAGTGTTGTACCCCGAAAGCAAACAACCGACCATTTATCATAGCAACCGTTTTATGAAGCTCCAATCCAACAAAAGGGTGCTCGGACAAATTAATCCATACGTTTATGTCATTGTTGGGTGACCACAATGTGTGAACAACAAAACAAAAACTACCATAAACCGAACAAACTCGCACAATAAACCCTTTCCCTGAAAGTGGGGCCCCAGGGGGCCTCTGGAAGCTCCCAGGTGGCAGCGCTCCCCACGTCGCCACGATCCAGGTCCTCGTCCGTGAAGGAAAGGTTCGTCCTCAGAGCGTTCGGTGATTTCGGGGGCTTTTCATGTTTTTCATCTCCAGATTTCACGTTTTTCAGCTCCAGATTTCATGTTTTGCAGCTGCATCCCAAACTCAACAACCCCACCGCACAGACGCTCCAAAAAAGCCTCTGAGGGGCACTTGGAACTTCGCCGCGGCGTCGATGAAGGAGAGGGCGGCTGGCGTGGTCTGCTCCGCAATCGCTGAGCGCGCATAGACCTCCCAGAACTCGGGAGCCCTTCACATGCTCTCGAATGTTTGATCATGAGGTCTTGAGCGGGTGCTCAGAAGATGAAGGGGTCTCGGGCTTGTATGATCAGGGTTCCGTGGTGACAGCCCACTTGTGTGCGACAGCCCTGAGTCCTAAGCTCTGTCCAAGTCTTTAAGCGATGTTAGACCTTTTCAGGACTGAGCCGGGAGGCAGTGAAAGTTGTGAAGTTGCCACGTGCGGTCCCAACTGGGATAGGTCCTCGCAAGCAGATGCCAGTCGAGGGCTTCGGGTTGACTTCGGGAGGAACAAACTAAATGTCCGAAGTCGCAGTTGCCAAGGTTTATGCAAAGCCTGCGCCAAAAAACGGAATGCAAGTTACCCTCGAAAATGGAAGCCTTTGCTGCTGGCTGGTCCTTGGTCCGTGCCACCAGAAGCGATGGCCCCACCAACCTTCAAAACCAGCCACAGCAGTTGGGAGGTGCAGAGCTTGCACAGCATGTTCTTATTGATTCACATGGTTGCTAAATAAACATATACTCGTACTTCATCCGAACATGATGGCTTAGGGAGGCATCATGTTCATGTCGGGCCTGTGAGCGCCCTGCACCGGTTGCGTCCAGTGCAAGGAAGAGGCTGTAGTCCTCCACGCAAAAGCCAAGGAAGCTATAATAAGAATTCTGTATCACCATTTTGATAATTCTTGTCTTGTATGGCTCATTCTTATGACTCAGTCCTTGTCTCTTCACAAGAACATCATGTTTTCATGGTGTCAGGTCCTGTTAAAGCCATGCAAAGCTCTGGAAATCCCAGCGGCCAACCGAAGCAAGGGGCAGGAGCCCTAGGGTATGGGATTGGTAGGGCCAACTTCTCGCAATGCTCTCCCTACGAGTAGATTGCTTGCACATTGGCAACGGTGTTTTTGGACCCCTAGCTAAGCAGCTATATTCATGTGATGATTCATGGTCCAAAGCTGAATGGTGCCAAAAATTTAAAAAAAAAACCGGAGAACTCTTCTGGGTGGCCTCCACACCGCCCACACCTGGCGCCGGCGTCCACCGGACAAAGCCGCCCAGGTCATCCAGGTCCAGGTCCTCTTTTCAGACGCGTTGATAGGCCCACCGGAAAGCTAAATGTCAAGATTATGACCGTGCAACTTATGCTGCAGAGACCAGGAAGCATGAGGCGCACTGTTTTTTGACTCGTGCTTTGATGCCACATAGCGCCACTTTGCTACTGATTACAAATTGGCCGCCCAGATGTTGGCAATGCGAAGCACAAATGCGAAGCACAGGGTTACTCACTCACGCACTCCACACACTCACTCACTCCCGCCCTCGCTCGCTCACTCTCTCTCTCTCTCTCAACCCGCGCGAGCCCCGATTTACTCTATGAGCCCTCCTGGCCAACAAACTGTATGGTCTGGACAGACGCATCAGCATCCACCTGGGGGGGCCACTCCCAGCTTGGATTCAAGTTTGTTCTCAGGCCGCTCTATCTGTTGTCTCGTGCTTCAGGTTAATTTGACCCCCCCCCCTCGACACACTGGTCTGCGGCCCCTGCTATGGTATGGTTGTAGGGCGTGGTGGCTTCGGCCAGTGAGGACTTGCTGAAGATCAAGAGGAACCTGGCGGCTTGAAAGAGTTGTTTAGGGGGTTATACAGCTCATTCCCGGCTGCTTTGGAGGGCTTAGGGACTTCAGAAGTTGAAGGTGGCTGCAGCACCCTAACCATCTAAACCCTCAAAGTTCACTCACCACATATGTTGTGCACGGTGGAGAGTTGGGGGGGGGGGGGGGGGCAGCGTCCAGCTTAGGAAGGAAGATGGGTTGTTGAAACATCCTCGATTATCGTTATCGAAGTGGCTGGAGACACTTCGGCATTTTGGGTTTGGGGTCTAGGCGAGGTTTGGCTTGGTGGACTCTTTGTCTACCCCAACAAGAAGACCCACACATGAAACAAAGGGGTCTAAAGTCTAAGCTTCAAAGGCCGACGCTTCTCATGTAACGACCCGCACTTCCCGGGCAACAAGACGGCAGCGCGAGTAGTTGGACTCCCTCTCCGGGGGCACCTCGGCCAGGGCCAGGGTCTCGGGGGAGGAGAAGGGGAGAATGGGGGCGGGGAAGGTACCATGTCGGTAAGTGGACCTGAACTCTGGAAAGCCCCAGCCCCTAAGCCCACCGCATCGACTGAAGTGACGTCAGAAGTCACCGTGGCGTACTCGATCGGCCTTCGTGGTGTGTAAGGCTTTAGATGTCTAGACGAGGGGCGGGTTGCAGGGTCAAGTTGCTTCTTCCCTAAGCCTAGGCCCGAATCAAGGATCTGGGAGCGCGACATTTCGTTGGAGAAGTACACGACGAACTCTGTCACCTCACCCAGCAATCCCTGACCCGCTACAATGGACTCATTAAAGCCCCCCACTCTTGTTCATGGCCTTGTTCATACCCTATTAGCCCTATTAGCCGATAGGCCCTAATCAAGAGGCAGATTGCAAGTGGTCTGCTTCAATGACTCGTGACAGCCATCAATCCGCGCTGACAAACACGGAGGAAGCTCCCAAGACTGTGATGTTGCAGTGCTACAGGTCACGCTGCCTCGGGCCTACAGGTCTAGCGATAATTACCTCTTGGATCCTCTTGGTGCATATGTGTGCTCGTTGTGGGATTTGTAGGACCTGTAGGACTGTAGTGGAAAGCCCCAAGCCCCAGCCCCCAGCCCCCCAAGAGCTGAAAAGACCTGAAAGCCCTTGGAGCTGGGGTCATGGCTAAGCTGCTGTCAACAGCCGGAGACCTGAGGGTGAAACGGATGGGCTGGAGATTCCACGGGCGAAGGTTTACAATAATGAGGTATGACAATGACAATGATTACTAAAGATGTTGCTGTTAAGGCCGCTCAGCCGTTTCTGGTTGCATCTTCTTGGGCCGCTCGCGTCCGCCAAACTTGGATTCACGTTGGGAAACTCAGTTTGCAGACCAGCGGATCAGGGCCTTTTTCGACATTTAGAAGAATGCAACCCCAAGTGAGCCTGCAACCCTAACCCGTGGGCCCCCGAACCAAGACAGAGTCCCGCCGATCTCGCCGGCATCCAGGTCCAGATCAGGGAACGAGACCTGGTGGGAGTCAACTAGCCAGGTGAGGTCTAGGGTGAGGGTTTGGAGTCCTTTTGGTGATTTTAGGGCCTTTAGGCTGAGGCTTCAAGATGCTTCAGAAGCCCTTGTGCGCCTTGACGTCACATTAGTGTCGAGGGCTTCTGGCTCGAGGCCGGCGCGCGCCGGGACGATGGCGCAAGCCCTTTCTGCGGACATCTGTCTACGTCCCTCCGAAACCTTTACACTGTTTGCATCCATTAACCTTCTGCAAGAAACCGGTAGGAAGTCCCGAAACCCAAACTGTGAGCCTGACAATAGCAGATTGGAGCGCCAAGCGCCACGCGTTCTCCACCATGGCATCGGTGTCGTGGATTAGCCTCACTTGACCCATTTGGGGTCTTCCCCAGAGTTCAGAGCTTGGGAATGCAAACCCTTACAGCCTTCCCTCCAAGAAAAATAGCCGAAACCTGAAGTACCTGCAGCCCGAACTCTCCGGCCAGGCCGAGGCACAATGCTGCGGGCCTGGACACGGGTGTGG